GGAATACAGTCCATGAGCCCTTGAAATTGAAACAAATGGAATACAGTCCATGAGCCCTTGAAATTGAAACAAATGGAATACAGTCCATGAGCCCTTGAAATTGAAACAAATGGACTTAAAGAAGCTTGTGAAGAACTTGGTGTTATAATTGTCGCGTGTAGCCCAATAGGACGTGGTATTTTATCAGTACGCATTTATTTTATTTATTACTATTATTTATTTTTTAAAGAAAAGCATTAAATAATATACACGTTAGCTGATATCACTACTTTCGTTATTAATTACAATTATATAGGGATAATATAAGTTCATAGATGATTTTGAACCTGATGACTTTCGTAAATTCCTTCCTCGTTTTATGGGAGATAATTTTACTAAAAATTTAGAATTCGTAAAAGAAATTGGAAAGATAGCCGAAAAGAAAGGTGTTACTCCTAGTCAACTTAGTTTAGCATGGATATTGGCTCAGGTATGCATCGATTTTGTACTAAACATATAAATTTGAATTATTTCATAGTATCGATTTGAAATAGCTCTTATACGCGTAGATATCTCGAAATAACGCGTAAAGGTGCATTATTTCGCAACAATACGGTATTTAAAGCATTTCTAGCATACTGATTTTTATTAAATTAGGGTGAAAACATCATTGCAATTTCTGGTACTAAAAAAATTAAATATTTGAAAGAAAATGGACATCCTGCCAATGCTAAGTTAACCATTGAAGAATTAGCTGAAATTCGAAAAATTATTGATTCAATTGAAATTGCCGGCAATAGACCATCAAACGGTAATGTATATTATTTTAAAAAGCATTTTTTTGGATCTTCACTTCACACTGTTAGATTTTAGTTTACAAAAATAACTTGTCTATAAATGATCTATTTCAAATTCTCCCGAGATAACCCTATACTGTGAAGTGAATATCCAAAAATTGTGATTTCCGCTTTCATTTTACAATACTAATTTTATTAACATGTATGTATACCCCTTTTTATTAGTATTTGAATATATAAGTAGATCGGCCAATATATATTAGGAATATCCGTAAAGGTGATTTTGCTCTTAATTTTTATGAAATAAATTCAAACTTTTTTGACGTTTTGGCTTGGCACACATTGAAATACAGATTGGTTAAATATTGTAGAGGTTTAATTAATACTGCTAATCGAATTTATCTTAAGCTACTGTAATCATATTTTAGGTTTAAATATTTAAATGTCTGAATGCAACGTATTTAAATTCCTAGTACATCGAATTTAGATAATTTATCTATATTGCAGTCATAGGACTTTCGGGACTCAAAATTTTTTTTATATCATGAATTAAAAACAACAATTAGATTTTATATTAAATTCAAAAAAAATATTTTTGATTTATCCTATATTAATTTGTGAATAAAGATAGGGTGTGGTCAATTTAAAGCACACACTTATTTTTAAGATGGCATTTAACAGATGTAATTTAATGATGTAGTTATTTCTCGTATTTTTGTCTCAACGGAATAAATTTTTGCATTGAAACCTTAGAAGAAATTTTAAATTTAAAAGGTGAATTATCATAATTATATATTGTGGTTGATTTATATGGTTTGAAATCAATTCAAAATATGGAATGAAGTAATCATTTTATTAAAAATTAGTCGCTATTAACGATTTTCATTCAGGAATTCTTAATTTCATTAATAATTTACAGTAAATATTATGGTTACTGTTATATTAATGAAGAGATCTTTATATTTGAAAATGATTACATTTATGATTTATGAACTAATAAATCTAACTATTATAAAACCACTAAGTTTGAGATTTTTTACAAACTTGAAACACCTCATATTCGTCTATAAAAAACCATCCCGTAGGATCTTTGATTGGATTTTGATAGTGTTTTTTTCCGCTATACCATTTTTTAGAATCAGAACTAGTTATCATAGCAAGATCACCACTAACATAATCAGCACCAAAACAAGGACCTAGTGATTTTGAACTATACATAATTGCACGTGATGAGTCAATTACACGACTAACGATGGAATTTCCACTTTTAAAAGAGAAAATAAAGCTATCCTGTGTTGTACCATATCCATTCCCAGTTTTCCAAGTAAGAGGATTGTAGCCACCAAGTATCTCATCTGAATCCTTAACCTTTAAAACAACCACGGTACCAGCTTTATTATCACACAGTTTATGAAAAACCTCACCAGAGAACCCATCATAACTACTTCTAAGCAATGGCTTGAATTCATATGGAGTTTCTGTAACGTTATAACTTGTTGAACGTCGATCAATCCAAGATGAAATCTCTGCTGCATGCTGTAATGTAATTATTGATGAAAGTTCTACCATAGATGATTGACTAAATTTGGACGTTTCTCCATTAGATGGTTGATTAATTAAGCCATTTTCGCCATTAGATGGTTGACTAACTGAAGATGCTTCTACATTAGTTGGTTGACTAAGTTGAACTTGTGGTGATTCTTTTTTGCGAGGAGGTAAAACTGGTGAATTGATAGGCAAATTTGGGGCTAAATTTTTTGTTAAAATATCATCCCATAAACTCTTATCAAGAATGCTTTGATATGGTTTGACTTTCTTTATAACATCTTCACCATTAATATGAAAGTATCTAAGATGAGGAAGACAATTTTGAAGTGTTTCTTTCAAAGTAATAAAGTCATCATCTATCCATTGTTCAAGATCTGTCGGTAAATTTGATGTTTTTGCTTTTCCCCACTGAATAACTTTATCCCAAATATCTGATTCTTCCATTTGTAATTCATCATTCTTTAAAAGTGCAATCAACGCCTCTTCTTGAAGGGTGGTGAAATATTCCGAATTAAAAATCATATCTGGACTCTTTGTAACAGTTTTATTACAAAAATCTCTTAAAACTTTAAAATTTTCAGTGTAAAGAAAACTTAATTGATAAACACGAAAAAAATTCGATCGGAGCCAAGTTTCGTTATTATCAATAAGGTGAACCTGAATATGATCAACCAATTCTTTAAGTGATAATGAATTGACAGTGACTAATAGATCTAATATATCTACAGGTTCAAAACTTCCTAAAGTGATTATACCACCGTAAATGTATCTAAATGGTGAATATTAAAGAAAAAAAAAAAAGATCCTAAGCTTTTTACTTTTTAAGAATCATTCATTAATTATAATGTTATTACTTACTTGATAATAACATTAAATGCTTTAACAGTGACATGAGGTAATTTAAATTTAAAAAGATTATTCTTTTTTGTCGAATTCAACAATATTTGACGAAAATATAGTGAACGTTGGTACAAAATTACTGAATGTGCTTTGAAGATCTTATTATTCGGTTTTTCCCCAACTTCAATAACAGTATTATAATCATATTCACTTTCAAGAAGTTGTGTATAGTCTTGGGAAAGTTTGTCATAAAGTTTGGCGGTCATTTTATTGTTGTTATGCTAAGTAAGTATGAACGTAGTTGTAAGCATGTACGTACGTACACACGTTAGCCTTATAATGTGCATCAGCTGATGTCATGCATGCGTACTATTACTTAATATGTTGCTAGGGGGGGAAAATCGCACGGTTATTTCAATTCGTCAAACATTTTGCGTGTAACGGTTCTAGAACAAGAATATCTACTTTCATTCGTCAACTTGTCACAGCCAATGGAAGGATTCACAAGATCCCCAAATTCTGGGTTTTAATTATCGGAATTCCCAAATTTGCCAAAAATCAAAAGTTATCGCTTATTCATTAAGTAAAAATGCCCAGCGAATAATAGGAACATGTGGTGTAGGTAGTGTGCTGCGTGGAATAGAAGGTCGATCCGCAACACAATCGCACTAAAATCAGGAACGGGTGCATATTCATCAATATGTTGTACGTACGTGCAGTTCAGGAAATCCAAAAACCTCAATCACTTTATATAATTTTAAGTTTCAACAGTATGTACGGAATAGTTAATGCTGAATATATATTAGTGTGTTGTTTCTATGCAGAGATTGAGATTTCCAGACCCGTCACTTTATTGGATTGATAATTAAAGAAAATCATTTACGTAAATGTGTTATCAGTTTATGCATTATCTCTATATCGATATAGATTAAAATTTCCCGTACCATACATATAAAAAGTGCTGAATACGTATACGATATTATGTATAGTAAGATAGTCTATAAATTACGATGTATATCATGTATCGGTATATTTATAATTCTATATATTTATACATGTATACAATAAAATTACACATTCGATAAGATTGTATAAAAATTTTGTTATAACAGGTTTAGACCTGAAGAGTAAAATAGCCGGATGATCTACATGAACGTACCCGGATACTCCTTGAGGGAAATACTGTATGAATACTTCTATGTATTTAATATGATTAATATACATGCCCATATCCTCATACATATATACCCGGGTTTATCATAATCATTCAATGCTATAATTAATACAAATTTGTTTGCATTACAAGTGAATAATGGAGGCACAGGAGATTTCTTGATTAGGCATTAGAGACAAACCGACACAACTGGCTTGTACATTAATTATAATAAGCTAGAGTCTATTTGCATGCATGTTTTTTGTTAATATTAATCGCATCTATAAAGAATAGAGATGTTAAATCATACTATAAACCTGATTCAGAAGTAGTCCTGTCCTAATCTTCGAAAAAATCACTTAAACTAGTGGTTCGTAACTTATTTAATAATATATAAATTACAAATGTTACTAACATTTGAACTATTGGCTTGAATATAATGAACTACTAAACCAACTAGTTTGAACTTAAGCTTATCAAGTTTGAATTAGAACTAGGAAAAATGAATTACTCGACATTACCAATATGCATAGCTGTGGAACATACCAAGATGAAAGGCCTATAGTTCGATGCCCAAAGGCATTTTCTTTTGCTTCCTCCTTACATTAACTACAAATTACAATAAAAAAAAAAACAATTAAGCCATTAGATAGAATTTACTTCAAGGAAAAATGTAAAAAACAATGCATGCTAAACTTATGGATCATCTAAATTCTTCAATAGATAGTTTTTTGTATTACTAGGCCCCTTAAAAATTAATAAATGATTGTAAATCGTTGTCTTTGTTGACCAAAAAATAAACAATCTTTGGACATATTTTTTTATATATATACGACAACAAGTGTACCAATAAAGAACTATTATTGGCGAACAATTATTTATTTTCCAATAATTCAATTAATTACGTGATAGCAAATACATCCAAAAAGGCATGTACTTAATTAAATTCCGGTTTGTACGTAGCAAAAATTTATTTATCAATATTTCATTTACCAGTAACATTATGAATTTTAGTAAAATGTTAATATACAGTCAAACCTCCCTAACGCAACCCATAGAACCAAAACTTTTGACGAGCATTTAAGAAAAACTGCATTTATAGGGGTTAAGCATGCACCGTATTTAGCTTGTTTAGAGAATTATTGCATTTAAGACGCTTAATTTAGAGGTCTGACTATAAAAACGTTGCTCTAAAGATATAATCGAAAATAAACCATTATAATTGCTATATTTTGAAAACCGGTCAATTAATCGTGCCTTTGTTCTATATAAATACTTGGCACCCAAACCTTTCTAACTTATAGCTCAAAATTTACCAATAAAAAGTTTTATAATCCACGATCATCCTAAATACAGCGCGCCTTAAACTCTTACCCAAAAATACGTATAATCTCTCTAAATGTATTTTTTCTTATTGCTCTCTAAATGCACGTTGTCGAAGCATGGACCCTTCTAGGAAGGTCTGACCGCCACTTGAAAATGGCATATGTAGGGATGGAAATTTCAGTAATTTTATGTAGTTTTACGTAATTTTGCGTAAGGTTCGGT